TCCTGATCGGTCTGCTGCAGAGTTTTATGTTCCTGACCCTAATCCAAAGTACATTAACAAACTCTTTGTCAACCATCCAGACAGGTTAGCATGCTCCTTTGCTGTATTTTTCCTAATTATGTTGGGAGTTAATAACATATCTTAAGTTAAAGAAAAAAAAGACGAAAAATTAATTGTATGCACATGTGCTAGACTGTGATTTACTTAATTATTATAGAGATCAAAGTGCGAGCATCCACCACCTCACGTGTGAGGTCTTTTGCACCTATAACATATGGGCAATTCTAAGTGAGTGAGTGAGAAAATATGGGCCGTTGGGCGCTTAACATATAGATAGCATGCTCTGATACCATATATATTAAAAATGTTAGTATTCAAAACAAAACTAATTGGTAATGGATACAGAAATTCCTTTTAACTCTTAAGCTAGGCTTCAATCCTTCGATTTGGGATACTATCAACACGAAGTACTTCTTCTTACAACAAACAGTTATAAATATAAGGTATAATTTATTAAGATATTGATTATTTTTTTCTTCTTAAATTGGCAGGTTTAGGCAATATGGATTGTGGGAAAGATACTCAGAGTTATATCCTGATAAAGACTTGGTTTACACAGTTGGTGTCAGTGACTATAGCGAAGACTGGTTCTTCGCTCAGGTTAACAGGTGCCATTCTTCCTCATTAATGTTTCTTCTTGATCCAGACTTGTCTCCATTACTTACATTTTCTTTTCTTTTATTAATTAATATTTAGGAAGAAAGATGATAATAAATATCAAGGAACTACTTGGCAAATCAAATTCAATCTTGACACTGTGGACCAGAGTGGTCCCTATAAGCTGAGACTAGCAATTGCATCAGCAACTCTCTCTGAATTGCAGGTATATATATATGAAACTACTCGCCAAACCCACCACTAGCCTTCATGATTATTTTACATAATTATTGAAATAAAAATGTTTTTTTAATATAGGTTCGGGTAAACGATCCAAAAGCATACCCTCCTCTTTTCTCAAGTGGGGTGATAGGTAGGGACAATTCAATAGCAAGGCATGGAATTCATGGGCTATATTGGCTTTTCAATGTCGACATACCTAGCTCTCGAATTATTGAGGGAGATAATATTATCTATTTGACGCAACCAAGAAGCACAAGCCCTTTTCAAGGGATTATGTATGATTACATTCGTTTAGAAGGCCCCCCATCACCAAGTTCCGAAAGAGAGACTTGAGGAGGTTTTTCCAAAAAGATTTGAATCATTATCTCCTTCAATAGGTTTACTATCATTCCATGAGCTTAATGAGAGATTGTACGTAATAATGATGCAGGAACTAGGATTGTACTTATGTTTCTCAAAAACATGCTTGAAGTTGATTGTAAAATAGATATATAAAATGAATGAGATTAAGGTTTCTTCAATAAGCAGATACGGTCTTAGCCAAATTGGCTAGAGCGGATGTGCTCCCCACTCTGCACCCAAGTTCAAATTCCTCTCCCTGTAGTTTAGATTATATTAAAATAGATTATCGCTTATATATATAAAAAAATTAAAAAATTCTTCAATAATGGGTGTCTTTGAATTAATTTAAAGAGCATGGCCATGTGTTTCTTAGGTACAAATTAAATATTTAGAAGGTAGGTATGGTGCTGATAAAAAAACCCTCAAAGTTGTATGTAGATGTAAAGGAATTCTGAAAAAATAGAAGGCATTTATTTAAAGTTCAAAGACAACAATAACCAATTATCAAGAAACATATCAATTTGCCTTATAGAGTTTATTATTCATATAGTGGAGCAGGAAGGCGTGGAGTGAAAAGGACTTCAAGTGGGGTAGCTTTATTGTTGGTCAATCCCACCGTCTCACCCATGTCGACCGGCTCATCCGTTGGAGTTGTAATTTCAAAACCGTGAAGCAAAGAAGCAAGTGTTAATGCTATAACCTTAAGGGCAAGTGACATTCCAGGACACATTCTTCTACCACTTCCAAATGGAATTAACTCAAAATCATGACCCTTAACGTCAAGGCTCTTGTGGGTTGTGAGAAATCGCTCTGGTCGAAACTCATTTGGGTCGGACCACACCTTTGGGTCTCGATGAAGCTTTGAAAGGTTAACAAGGAGGCGCGTGCCTGCCGGGACATGATAGTCACCGACCATGCAATCTTCAGTCGACTCGTGAGGCAGGGATAATGGTCCAGCAGGGTATAAACGCGCTGATTCTTTGATAATGGCTTGGAGATAGACCAAGTTCTTGGTGTCTGATTCCTTCACTTGTCTGTCTTTACCAATGATTTGGTCCAGCTCTTCCTGAGCCTTCTTGAGGGCTTCGCGGTTGTTGAGAAGTAAAGCCAGAGCCCATGTCATCTGCACCGCAGGCGCCTCTGCACCGGCTACGATAAGAGCCTGCAAGAAAAGAACACATTGCAACACGCATAACATGCATAATTTTTGTTCACCAAATGATGTATCAGTTATGTCGTTTCTGGTTATAATGAAGTGAAAAGGTTCATAGCGGAGCAAAAATTGAATACACGAAACACTATCGCATTATCTTTTAATATTATAATAGAAAAGAAAAGAAGCGCATACCATGGAAGTTGCTTTGTTGACAGTATCAGCATCATAATCTGTACTAATCTCATTAGCACCATCAACGTCAAGAATGGAAAGCATCACATCCATGAAATCAAGCTGATCATCATCACCCTTCACTTGGCCTGAAATCTTCCTCTTCTGCTTGTGCTCTTCTAGCCATCCATTAAACACAAGATCAAGCTCCTTGGCTACCTTCTTCATGGCCCTCTCATGGCCACCCAAGTCCAACCACCTCAACCAGGGAATCGCATCGGACAGCACAAAAGTCCCGGACAATCTCAGAAAATCCATGTACGTCTCCTTCTTTAAATAATAGTTATTGCCTTTGGAATTTGAGCTTGTAGCTTCCTCAAATCGTTTCCCCACAATCATCCTAAACACAATGTTTTCAACTATGTCGAAAAACCATTCCCTCATCTCCACCAACGCCTTGTTCGAACCGGTACTACTCTTCCCGTTGGTCATGCATCTTTCGTATATTCCTTTCATGGACGCCTTCACTTCGGATTCTCGAACGTGTTTGAGCATCTCAAGGCGGCTGTTGGAGAGAACCTCAAGCATAACTATCTTGCGAACTTGGCGAGAGTAGTGGCTGTAAGGGCTGAAGGGGAAGAAGGCATAGTTGTAGGCCATGATTTCAGCCGCCATGAATTTCGGACGACTAGCAAACACTTTGTCGTTGGTAGTAAAACACTCTTTTGCTATTTCTGAGCTGCTTACAATCAGAGCTTTATGCACTCCTATATTTACCGTGAAGATTGGCCCATACCTCTCAGCCATTTTACCCAAAACTAAATGGGGTGGTTTTGAACCTCCTAGTAAGTGGAGGTGGCCGATTATAGGCCATGCACCCCCAGCTTTTGGTGGTGATTTTCTTTCCCCTCTTGATTTCATTAAGAGAGAGTAAAGAAAGAGTGAAAAGGCAGCTGCCACAAGAGTTATCAAAAGATCAGATGAGCATGAGAGGTTAAAAAACTCCATGGCTGGTTATAGTTGTTCTTCAATTGGGTTTGAGTTTGAGGATTTGGAGCTGAAAAACTTGTGACATATATAAGAGCATTTTCATATCGATTGATGTTGACTCGTGCCAATGAAGGACAAACACATTGACAATGACTGGTGGGAAAGAAGAACCAATTAGAAGGCAAGCATACCCAACATGTGACATCAACAAAATCAGAGTTTGATTAGAAGAGGGCCAGATTAAGCTTTTATATATATATATATA